AGGCAACTTTTGGCCCTACTCTATGGTGAGGCATCTAGACAGGGAGCTCAGAGGTTCTGGAAAAACCAATAATTCATGCCTGGGTCCACTGCTGACGCTCCATCTATACCTCACACCTAGGCACATTTCTAGCGTATGGTATAGTAAACTCCATCCCTGAGCCCGGAAGTCCCGCTCCTGGTCCCCAAGAGGTGGGCTCTGCTGGTGCTTCAGCGCCCTCTAGTGACAACCTATTCTAATGCTCACTCTCTAACCTGTCCTAGACTTAGGGGCTCCAAGGGCTTGCCCTACCTTATGCACCAGCCCACTAGCCTCTGCTTCTCCGCTGCTTCCAGAAGCAATGAACTGCCCCACAGAGATTTGGAATCTTTTGGATAAAGAAGGTCTTTTGACCTATACAACTTAAACCTGAGAAAGTGTCTAGGGTTAAACTGAAATACTGCATTTCCTCCCTGATGTTTCCAAGGAGAAATGTCTCTAGTTTTCTATGTAATAAGAAAAATGGAGTTATATACATTATGTTCTGAGCCTGAGATATAAAAGCAACATTCAAAAAAGCTATTCTTTTTTAATAGACCTTTAATTTAAAACAGTAAAGGACTCCCCTGTGGATTTCTGGAACTGTAAACACATAAAATCCCTTTATTTGCTTTATTGACTCAATTGTGACATTTAAAATAGAAAGCTAAGACTATGCATAGGTAATTCTTCACAAAACATGCACATTAACAGAGATAGCTGCAGACAATGATTTTGTATAAATTCAATCACATCTATAGGATAAAGATTGCACTGGCTCCAAGAGACAGAATGTAATAAGTCCCAAGCCTTCTCCTCTAAACACCCAATGGAGGTGGGACCCCTCCCCCATTATTTCCAACTCGTATTCCATGAAGATGATCTGTACCCAGGACACTAGAGGTTGGTGTCATCATGATAATTATGTCCAGATAACCCAAGTCTCTTTGCGAGAAGAATAATCAAGAGGGTTGTTAATTGTGTCTCCTAATCTTGAACAAGTCACTTCTCTGAGGTTTAGTTTCCACATCTACCAAATTAAGTAGCTGAAGTCAACAGATTACCCTAAAACTCTCATCCAGCTCTGAGAGTCATACATTCAAAGTGTTGCAGTTACAATTCACAGTTTAGAAATGAGCCCACCACAGATAAACTTATATGGGCTCTCAACCACTGGAGTATACTGAAAGCAGAGGACTGAATATACCTTCCCAAAAAAGACAACCTTAGCATTGCCTTCTTTTCCAGACCTGCTTCCAGAACTCCGATATTTACTGAGATAAAAGATAGTAGTTCTCAAAAGGCTTTCAAAGAATATAGAACACACACAAAAGATTTCCTGGGATTTGCCAATTCAAAGTAAATATATACAGTACTATATAACATATATATTTAGTAGTTCTTAGAGCAAACAAAAAGCTCATGCAATGTACTGAAAATACTTGTAAGCACTACCATGTTTTTATTAGGCAGCCACAAATTTTAGCAGACATGGGTGAATTTAATGCTAATTGACCCCTTACTATACTATTTTGAAGAGCACTGAAAACAGTATATCTTACCTGACCCATTTAATGAGCTTGATTTTGAACTTAGTATCAACCTCCACATAAATGCCTTAACCAGAGAATGAATCTGTAACCTCAACTTTAATTACTAGGCTTGCAATCACAACCTAAACTAAAATGCTTCCTCCAAAAGAAAAACAGGATTTTTAGGACATCCTAAAAATAATTAAAATCTACCATCAGTTCTTTACCATTTATATTCAATCAAGAGAAAAGCAACTCTATTATATGCTAGAAGGTCATTTTAATGCACAGGAGAATGGTCTTGAACCATGTGACATTTTATTTTGAATGCATTTAAAATTTTCTGTCTTGATATTTTGTAACTCCAGTGTACTGGCTACTGTTGCCAAGGAAATATGACTTTGGATTACTGCATGGATCCAAAGGGGGTTTTGTTTTGTTTTAAAATACTAACAAGACAAAAATGGAAAAATCAAATATAGGGAACACATTTAGTCCTTTTCCTCTTCAAAAAATGCATGAAATATAGATTTTTCTTGTCACATCTCTGATTTTAAAATACAAAGACACATGTAATGATTTTCCAAAGTAGTATGGAGGCCTGTACCCAGGCAGTCAGGTGGATATCATCAGAGTAATCTCATTCTTTGTTCTGGATCCAGACTCCTCTGAAAGAGTGAGGCATTGATTATACCCAATATGGACTGCTCAGTTCCAATACATTTACCTCTAAATGTAAAACGTATTTCTTTATGTGAGTATGCATGGCCCTGGTTGTCTAAGGTATTATCTTTCAGAAAATTTGCAAAGTGAACATAGATGAAGGCATGATACGAAGCCTATAAATACATTCAGTTGAGTTTCAAAAAATTCTAATGCAGATGTGAATAAACTTCACCATTAACCCACTTTTTCCCTCTTGATTACTTCTTATAGTCAGATAATCTTAAAGCTTTCAGTTAGTGATAATTGACTAAAACAATCTATTAAGGAGGAGAACTGAAGCTTTCTTCTATTTTTTGAAATACTATATAAAACTTTCTGGAAATAGCATCTTTGCTTCCTAGTAACTAAAACAAGGTACATTTAATCAAAATCCACATGCAGATCAAGAAATACTTTAGAACAAGACAACTTTTAATTAAAACCTTTAAAAGTAGGATTCCCTTAAGACAAACCAATAATCCAAACAAAATGCCACGCTGCTACTAGACAGTAGGAGATAAACATGAAGTCTTTCCCTCTCTTTTTACAATTAAAAACAACTCACAAATCTCAGAGCAACTATTCTTAAATAGTTAGAAGTTCTAGTGAAGTGGTTGTCTCATGTCTACACCCCATCTGTGCCTGTTCCCACAGTGTATGCCAGGCCTGTGTCTGGAAGAATAAAAAGAGAGGCTGACTACTCACAGGAAAGGCATGAGTTTAATGCCACAAGAGTTTGCACATGGCAACACGTGAGTAGACCTTTGGCTCCATTACAGGCAAGCTTTTGTCACACAACCACTGAAAGCTGTCCAGAATTCAATGTCCACTCCTGCTATGAACAATACGGCCTTTTATGTAATGCTCAGGGGGTATCACCTAGTTCTGATATGGTTTGAGTTTGATTTGTGAAACCATCAGAATCTTCCCATCAGAGATAAATGAGCAAATTTTGGCCTTTATTGTTACCCACCATTGACACAGGTATTCTATCTGTATCTCCCAACTCTCCCTCTATTTTTACCTACTTCTCTGCATGTGAGAACCTTTGACCAACTCTGAGCTCAGAGCCTTGATCTGCTAGATTGACCTTGTCAGCCTCTTGAAAGTGGGCAAGCAAATCAAACGAGTTCAATGTAGGAGCACAGCTCGGTAAGAGAAATGAAAACATCAGAAGTCATCTAATCACAGCCAAGGCCATCCTGAGCTCTGTCTTACCTGCTGGTTAATAAAAAGAAATGGGACTTTCCTAAACTTGAAGGGCATCAAATAAAAGTTATTTTTTGCCTCTGGCTTTTCAGTGGATATGTTAAACAGTTTAACCAATGAATACTAACTACAAAATACTGTCATGGATTCAAAACATCTATACCCTAGGAAAGTTATTAGGTTTTTGTTTTTTAGTTTGTTTTGATACAAAGCAAAAAACACTAATGTCTCTGTAAACTGAGACTGTTAATTAAGAGGGAAGTAGAGGGGAGAAGAAGGCAGAAAATTATTTGAAGCTAAGGTTGTTTTTTTTGTTCTTAATAGGAGAAGGATCTGTACAGCTCAAAATGCTGTTGAGGAAACAGAAAACCAAGTGAATCAAGAGAAACCAAAAGGTCCCAGCAAAATAGCAAAAGGATGAAGAGTTGGTATTCATAGTCGTGCAAAGTATAGAGGTGCTGAGGCATCTCTTCCCAAAGGCGCTAACTTACTAGGAATCTGTGGTCAGTGTGTGGGGTCAGGGGCCTTTCTCAGACAAGTCTCTGGCAGTTTCCTAGGGCCATCTCCCCCATCCTCAAGGCCTCCACCTCCTGAGCCCCCACAACCTTGGTTCCTTGGTTCGTGCCCCTTGGATCATCTCGGGGGGGGGGGGTGTCTTTTTACCCCATCTAGAACCTGCCAAACTCTGGGAGTAGAAGCCAACCTTGCAAGGCCGGCTGGTGGCGGTCTGAGCTGGGGGGCAGTACGGGAAGTGGAACCTGAAAGCCCACCTACTTTAAGAGGAAGGAATGGTTTTCCTAAAAGTACTTCGGGATTCAGCCTGCTTCCCACCCAAGGGTAATCCACACTCCCCTGACTTGGAGAGGACACCCCCTGATTGTCTCCCCTGGACTCCGTCCTAACAGCACTGGGCGTCTGTGGTACTACAGGAAGTCCCAGGGATCCTTCCTGCCCTATCCCTCACCCCATCCCCTTCTGCCTCTGGCTACTTCATTTAACAGGAGGAGAACCGAGGCAGGCGTTGCAAATCTATTGATTAGAGTTAAAGACAGGGAGTCCCAAACCCAATGAAATATTATTGGAAAAGGGGGTGGGGAAGGAGTTGGGCAAGCTGCACCCAAACTAAAGGTAGGTCAAGCGTTACGCTGTCCCGCAGCTTTCTGGACGTCAAGAGGGGGAGCTGCAACTTCGGCCAGGACCGTCCTCTCCCCCTTCCGGTTCCCAAAACAACCACCCCTCCCCCAGGGCGCTGGCGCCCTCCCTGCCCGATCTCACCCCGCGGCCCCCTTCCCCTCCACTTGCCCACCCCAGCTGGGCGAGGTGACTTTAGGTAGGAAGGCGAGACGGGAGAGATTGAAGTTCCTTTGCTTTCAGGGCTGCCTGCAGCTGCTTCTTCCAACAATAGCGAAGATAAACAAGCGAATCCAAACGAAAACCAGTGCATCTCAAAAGTTGGTCCTGCTACGCAGCAGCCCCAACCGACTTTGCAACCCCTGCGCCCCGAGAACACTGGAATCAGAGTTGGCGTTTACGCACCTGGGTGTGACAACCTCGGAGAGTGCAGAGAGAATTCAGCTCTGGACGCGGTCGGTCCCGCCCCCAGGATGAGCGGTCCGGCTTCGGAGTGGAGCTGGTCGGCGGTGGGGCTGCGTGGTCGTGGCGAGAGTTCGCACTACCCTCCCCCTGGTCCTCCCGGGTCAGTTTAGCAACCGCGGAGAGCAAAGCTGCTGAGAGGAGAGTTTGGTCCCTCTGGAAACCGGGACTCCATCCTTGGGTGGGGGCGGGGAGGAGGGTGGCAACGTGCGGGGTGCAGCTGGGTGCTGCCAACTCCGAAAGTAAAGAGGAAGGAACTGGGGAAGGAGGCAGGGAGCGCGGGGAGAGAAAAGGAGGAAGGAAGGAAGAAGCGGTGAGGAGAGCGGGTGGCGGGGAGATGGCAGCTTCTCACAGATTGCCACCTTCTGACGAAACCATGCGCCCCGCACCCGGCGAGATACTAGTTCTACAGCCTCCGCGCGAGCGCCCCCTGGGGGGTGGTTGCGGCGGCCGCGAGCGCTGCCCCGAGCCCGAGCCCCACCCGGGTCCTGGCCGCGCCACGCCCCGACCCGGGCCCGGGCTTCAGTTCTCTAAGGGCTTGGACTCGGCTCCTCCCTGCTAAAACGGCAATATCGTGGGGGTGAGGAGAGGAGAGGATGGGAGTTACACTTTTTTTTTTTTCACACATTCCAGGAAACTTCTTGGATGAATGCTCAACTGTCCCCAAACATGGTGGAGATTCTGCTCTCCCACTAACCTCAGTGTCCACTCCCGAGCTGACATGTGGCAGAAGCCTGGGAATTAATTTAGCAAACAAATGCATGAATAAATGAATGGACAACTAGTCTTCACCCCATAATGTCTTCCTGAATACATCCCTCTCCCAAATAAGATAAGGAAATGCTTAGGGCGTACCTCCACTTAAAAATAGATGTAAGCATGCCATCTTATGTAAGCGGTAACCACTGTCTCATGGCGCGACACACTTTAGAAGGAATTAGTGACTTTTCCATTCCAAACTTATTCAAAATCAAATTCAGGCAAATGGAGAACAATGGAGAGAACTGCTGTATATTGTTTCTGATTGTTTCTGGAACCATGGATAAATGAGGCAACTAAATTCTCTCAGCACATAGGTATTATTAGAATCACAAATTGTACTTCAGAACCCATAAGTTAAAATGCATAAGAGGCTCTCTCTGACTTTGAAAGACATGGAAGGCATTGCAATCTAATATGGACAAGGACACAAGGAGATGGGAGGTTCTCCCTCCCCACCCTACTTAAGCACCAACAAGATACCTCAGTGGGTGAAGGAGTCATCAACCAAGAGCTTTTTTGCCAACCATAGTTTCCAGTTTCAAAGGCCAAAGGAGAACTACTAGGATAAGAAGCAAGGACTTCATTGATGGTTGTATAGAACTTTCCAGCAAGCTTTCTTTGTGTTTTGTTTGTTTTTATGGCACTGGGGGTTGGACCCAGGGCCTTCTCACTGAGCTACATCCCCAGCTTTTTTTTTAAGCAGGTAAGCTGAATTGCTACATCGCTCCAGCTGTTGAAGTTGCAGTCCTCTTGCCTCAGCCTCCCAGAGTGCTGGGATTACAGGCATGTTCCCTTGTGCCCAGCACAAGAAGAGCTTAAAGAAGCAGGGAAAGAGCTTCCGGAAGAAAAGGAAAAAAAAAAAATTTACTTCTTCCAGTAATCCCCCAAGCACCTCTGAAATAAGATAACACTAAATGTGAACCCTAGAAAGAAAGAATCTCAGAAAGCCTGTCTGTACACAGAAGCTCCCACATGAAGCCATGGGTTTGCTTTGATTGAGAAAACTTGGGCCATGAGATTTTGCACAAGCCAATCATCATGACCTTGAGTTATGAGATTACAATACATGGGTCAGGCTTGCCACGCACACAATGTGCGTACAGCACTGCACCCAGTGGAGCCCAACCTGAACCACACAGACTGGAAGGAATAAGAATGTTCCTCCAAGGAATCCTCAGGACTCTCCTACCGGTAAAGGGAGGATGGATGCTGGGAGGGCAAAACCAGCACCTGTTTGCCAATTCCCTCCAGGTTTTATTAAGATGTAATCTTGGAGATGAGCTTGAAGTTTGTATTAGGCTGAACTTGCAAAGGTGAAAGAAACAAGGGGGAGAGTCATTGTTTATTTTCTTGCATATTGATTGTAAATTCTAAATTTTAAGTTCCATAAAAGTAGGTGATATGTCTCTTTATTGCCTTGTTCATGAGCATAACCCCAATGCCTAGAACAATGTCTGTCACTTAGCAGGTAGTCAGTCAGTAAACATATTTTAAGTTAAAAATGCTTTAAATATCTTAGAGATCATTTAACATAAACCTCTTTTTTACAGGTCAGAGAAAAGGAATTCAGATGTTATTTCCAGGAATCTCTTAGGCATTCTACTTACTACCCTAGTATTTAAGTTTAACAGTATCCTGCCCAAGTAAGCTTTATAATGTTTACCAAAAAACCTAGGATCTGGGTGGTCAGAATGAAGAAACCAGAGACACAATTAGTTACCAGGGGAACAGGGAGTGTTAATTGAAGCAGGCTCTGAAGATGGCAACTAAGAATGGATAACAAATGGGCTATGGAACAGAAGTAAAGCCAGAGACCATACAGAAAAATCTAGTACAGTTATCTTTGGCCCCCATGTTAAAAGCATAGACGCACAAACTGAACAAAGCACCACAACTTGTGACAAATATGGTTTATACTGCCAGCAGGCTTTGGCTCCCTAATTAGAAACAAACAGTTACCTATAAGCCAGGATGCAAAGCACACGTGGAGCTGTATGCCAGAATTTTTTCCCAAGGAATGCCACTGAAGGTAAATTCAAATGGGCTCTTTCCAGGGCATATAAGCAGAATTTACTCCCACCTCTCATATGAAATCAACAGCTCATCTGTACAAGCAGAGATTCATAACCAGCTAATATGTTCTCAATCACTGCCCCCACAGCAAGGTGCCCACCAGCCAGAACCCCCTTAATAATGATAATCCCTTTGTCTGTATCACTCACCTCTTCCCAATTCTCCTTTTCATGGATCCTGAGCTGCTGGGATCTACAGCCATGGTCAAAATTATCTAAAGCCAACCCACAGAGCAATGGTGGCATTGGCATTGTCAAGCTGTGAAGGAGGCTCTTGATCTGAGTAGACTCGCTTGCCAGGTCTCTGATAACATAAGGGAGGCATCCGCTCTGTGTCCTATGCCAATATGAAAGGCATCTCACCCATCAGTGTGACAAGTAAAATACTGGATCAGAGCCAGAGAACAAAAAAGAACTGTGGATTCTCACCAGTGCAGTTGGTACCATTTTTCAAGGGTGGCAGATGATGGGGAAAAATAGGCATAGAGTCAGTGCCCTGCATCAAAAACCTTGGATCCTTCCCTGAGTGAGTCAGGGTGAGCATTTTGTTTTGAAATTGAATTCTGTTTTCTGTTTTCTTTTTTTAACTTCTTCCTTGGAGCTGTAGGATGGTCACCTACTCAACTAGTTGACAGGGCTGCTGTAAATAACAGAATTTATTTTTGAGACTGTGGATCAAATAAGATCCTTGAATCTCACCCCAGGATTATTTATAGCTTTAAAATATGTTCTTTTTTCTATTTCTTGAGATTTTGAGAATTGACTGAGATGTCTTCCTCTGGGATTTCTGTATATCCCTGAGGTGGGTCGTATTGCTGGAAAGTAGAAAGGAACACTCTAAGAAAGCTCTTCTAAAATGCTACAAGTCAAGGAAGAACTAATACACAGGGATTACATCCACTTTCTGTCATTCTTATACCAGAGCACTATGTGACTGCTGATTCTAACGCTCAGTACCAAGCTACACTATGAAAGATTGCCTTGTGCTTTTGTCTACCAATAGGTGGCATCAAAATCTCTCTAGGTTTTCTTTCCTGTGTTTGAAAAACCATAGGCAAACAGCATTTTCTTTCTGAAATTTTACCTTTTACCATGGTGATGTTTAAAAGGCAGCCAAATTGGCTTTATATTATTTCAAAGCAGATTATTCCCTTTATGTTTTAATGAAGCCTCTCAGTCATCCCTCTGAGCCTCAGTTTCCACACTATAAAAAGAAGGTACTTGAATGGAACCCAAGCTCTAAGATTTTGCTTTTCGCCAATACAATATCTTCCTAGGCACACCATCTCTCATGCCTGTGATAAACCTACAGGACTCCATTCCTTTGGCCTTAAGAAATGTTAGCATGCAGCTATTCCTCTGTTGAAGAAACTGCTATTTTCCCAGCCCATATTTATTTTTGTTTGTTTGTTTGTTTGTTTTTCTTACTAAGAAAATCACAACTTTCTGGGAGGCAGTAACATGCCTAGCCTCAAGCCCACATTTTCCAGCCTTTCTTCCAGCTGGAGTAGTCATGGGTCAAAGGTCTAACCCTGCACTCTCCAATATAGCAGTCACTGAACATGAGTATTCATTTAAATTTAGTAAAATTAGAAATCTATTTCCTCAGTTTCCCCAGCCACATTTTATTTCATTTTTATTTATTTTGTATTTGTTTTTTTTGGGACAGGGTCTTGCTATGTAGTTCAGGCTGGTCTTGAGCTCACTATGTAGCCCTGGCTGGTCTCAAATTTAAAGTGATCCTCCAGCCTCAGGCTCCTAAGTGCTAGGATTACAGGGGTGTGCCACCATGCCTGGCTCTCTGGCCACATTTTAAATGGCTAGCAGTTAACATCTTGAAGCATTCAAGTATAGACTATTTCCATCATTGCAGAAAGTACAATGCTACTCTAGACATATCTCCATGAGAATCTTAAAACAGAGTGATAAAGTCTCAGCTGGCAAGTACCTTAATGCCTTTACCCTTTCCCTACTTTCCACCTGAAAGTGAAGGTAGGTCAGCTGTCATGTGATCATGAAGCAGCATTTACAAAGGCAGGCTAAGTAGTAAGACAAATGGAACCTGGGTCTTTGTTTTCATGATGACAACTATATTATTACCAGTATAAGAAAAATAAAACCCTCTATTGACTCAAGCTGCTCTTTCCAACACTTTATTACTAACAGCCAAATAACATTTCTGATTGATATACCCTCAGAATGCTACCTGGACAACTTTCCACTGGTGGATTTGGGTAAACAAGTTTCTTTACTTTGGTCAGGTTCAAAAC